ATTTTCGACGACACAGGCGAGATTTGAACGAAAATCCACAACGATCCGTGCTGCTGATCTGAAAGAGATGTGTATATAACGCCACTTTGTGCAATATTATGTGAAAATAGTTTTCAAAGCTAAATTAAATATCGTTTTTTTGCTGACATTGTTAAAGCTGCTATTGATTTGAAATACATAAAAGTTTATGTACGAATAATTCTTAAGCTTCTAGATATTTAAGATAATTGATTAAGAAGTTCACAGGTTAAGCACAAAGATATCGTTATTAACATTTTAAATTAAAAATCGATTATACATTGAAAAAAAAACTCGAGCAGGACTTTAACCGACATCAACAGTGTGCTGTTGCAAATTGAGCCACTCAATGTTATTTCAACCCTTATTTATTTCAGCTACTCGTATAGTTTCTATGTGTTAGTTGACAGTAGCCAATCTACAATCTATCTTGTTAGATTAAAGTCTTACTTGGAGATTAAATTGTTTCCTAAGGTATAGATAGTCTAAAGCAGAGTTCCCTAAACTATTTTGTGTCTTAGAACCCATGCCATGTTTTTCCGTGTTGGCTAAACTTACCTGATGTTGATTTCCTGTAATTTTGTAGCGAAGTTTAGTATTAAAAAGTTAAAGTAAAAACACTCGTTAATTTATACATTAATTGAATTTAAATTAAAACTACTCAAAAAACAATTGTATCTGTTATAAAATATATATAATATTTTCTTTACTTCATAGGTACTTTTGTAAATAATGTATATATTTTGATATTATAAGATAGTATGATGATATCGATACTGATAGTAAATAGTTACTATCGGTGTATGTGTTGAGATTCATTATCGTGCACCCCCATTTTCGTGTCACGGACCCCCAAATGTTTTTTCCCTGACGAAGACCCTTTGCAGGTAGTCACAGATCCATACAGTTCGATATAGACCTCTTTGGGAATCACTGGTCTAAAGGCAATATCTAATACGCGTTGTTTTACATTACGAGTGTATTCGCAATGTTACTTAGAGGTAACATCTGGTGTAGAATTAATTAATAAACAAACGGCGAGACAGGCTGCTCTAACTAATTGAATAACAAAGCTCTGTTCCTGCTTTCTTTTACCTGACTGTAAAGAGAGTGTAATGTTTCTCTTGGTCACTATCTGTTTGAAGTTAGGGTGGACCAGTTATAAAGTTGATTGATTTAGCGTCTTGAGTTTTTAACTGGGGTGACGTCCAAAAGTGTACATAGTTACCTACGTGTATAAATAGTTTTTTACTTTGACTTTACATGATATTATAACTGTAAGTTAAATACTGTCTGTATATTACGCGAGTAGCACTTTTAAATAAAACACTCGAACGGTTTAAAACGCAAAATATATTAATAAAACTTTTTTTTAAGCTTATTTTGACTCGGACTGGAACTTTAAATTAACGAGGACTTATACTATGTATTGCCTGTAGTTTATGCAAGAAGTACACATTTAAATAAAACACTTTTAACGGTTTGAAACGCAGTTTCATTGGTTCCGTGACTATAGTTGCTAGGCATGGCACTCAAAACGTCGGTAATTTAACTAATATATTTCGCGTTTTAAACCGTTAAAAGCATTTTACATTTTACTAAAGGTATTTTAAATTTATGTTTAATGTTTACGAGCACTAGTTTCCTTTTTAATTGTTTTATCGTAGTAAACATTAAAAAATTCATTCGCCTGATGGGATTACTGAATATTGCTGTTTATTTTCTTAGTTAATCATAAGTACTTTTTCTGTTACTAAATAACTAAATACTGTAGCTACAACTTAATACTTTGTTTCATATAGACAACATCATTGTATTTTCTGTAATTTTAGGTGAATAGGGCAGTTTTGTTTTGTAGCATTACCTTGAAATATAGGGCTGGCTGTCGAATAAATAACAAGTACAATTTATCGTTGATAATTTAAATATAGAACAAAGCCATTAAATTGTATTAAATACACGAAAATAACTGGTGATTCAATTTCGTATAATTAAGGATAATTTTAAAATTCGTTTAAGTAGATAACAGACTTTTAACATTACCCTTATAAGTTCGTGAGGTCGACGGTTCGATCCCCAGTATCGCACCGACGATAATTATCTCGACTTAATTATCGCAAGGAAACTATATGACCTAACCAATCATTATTCCTAGGAGTCTGATGGCTAATGCAGTCGTGGTTCGATTTTCGACAGATCGAACATTTTAAAAATGAATTTTAAGTTTTTGCTAATTAACAACTACCGCCCGCAGAAAAGCTGTGAAATGATAAATCTGCGTTTTGTTTTTTGTTAACTTCCTCTTTCCAATTGTTAAATGTTTCGATGTTACCTTCTATCAACTCCATGCTTGTGTGTCGTCTGCCATACATTTGAAGAATAGCTTGCTCGTTGCAAATTCTACCGTCAAAGTTTCTACTCGGCAAACGAGTAAGGTGTTTGTATTCAACAATCGAGACCAATTAAAAATATTTATTATTTCTTGAGATACAGACTCATTGTCTATTGTTCTCATAGAGATGCAGTTATGAATCTAATGTGTCACGGAATGCATAATTACCTGGCAACGTACTATACGACTGGCGCGTAACCTTTTTCAATAGTAAGAATATTAAACAAAACGATTTCCTCGTTAAGTTGTGGCCGATAAAATCTCTATCTACGTCAATAAACCTTGATATTCTTTTGAATCCAATATTAGAAGAAAGAGATCTTATGAGCTGAAATAGGAGGATATAATTATACATTCTGTTTAGCCTCGAATCCACGACCTTGCCATTTCATTTTCATACCTTTATGACACAGTGAGTAACGTTCTGACTGTTTTGATTTTAAATGATACAAATATGTTAAATAAACTAAATTTCTACTAAGGTTTTGAAAAAACGAACACGGCTGTGACAATTGCAAGCTTAATTAAAAGCTATAGCACGGATCAATTGATAATTTAACGGGTCGTGGCTTTGATTTTCACCGGAACCAACATGTTCGTGAATGTGCAACACTACACTTGAAGGGCGGATCTTGTTTAGTTTATGTATGTGACCGTCTTTTGTCTGTTTCCTGTATTATTAAAAAAAACCTAAATTTTTACATTCGTATTGATAAAAATGACATTAATTCATTAAATATTTCTTCTGATCGATAAAATACCTTTTTAGTATTTGCTAGATGCTTTTGATGCTGGGAGCCGTAGTAACGTGGAAACTGAAGATGAATGGTGTCCCTAATGTCAAAGACAAATCCGTTACGCTAGCGCCATCTGTGTGTAGGTTCAGTTATCCTAAGTAACTAACATAGTTTATTTCAACGTAGATTTTCAATAAATATCAATTCAGAAAAGAAATAACACCAGCGCTTTTCCAAAAACAGGCCTTTTAAATTATAACGTTTATAATTTTACGATTGAGACGAAGATTTTAAAGCTCATAAACCCTCTTGCAATTAAAATTTGACAACCCTATAATAAATTTCGTTTAATTTACTAAATTGCCTGTCCTGTTTGCTTTAATATCGTTCACAATTTGAGTGTTTAGTCGCAGGTCTTTGCCACTAATGGCTAATTTTGGATTGTAGGTAGCATTTTTTGACGCGGACATACAAGCCATATAACATTTAAACAAGATGCGCTTTGGATATTCGTAAATACGCAGACTGAAAACGAAACGCGATTAAACTTGACGGCTTTTTCATCTGTGGTAGTTCGTGACACGGAGAAAATTTCAATATAATATATACCCTCGTGTATTTTGACCTTTGATTTTCTTTATTATAATTGTCAAATAAGTTATTTTCTATTTATTTTCTCCTTTACTTCACGTTGCCTGGCAGAGATCGTTACTTAGCGATTAGGCCATTTTTTATTTATAAGTTAGTACGGAAGATTTTTCCTCATTAATATGTATTTTCTGTGGTGTGTTTTATAAATAATAAAGCTATTATAAATAAATAAATTGATTAACTGTAGTAAAACACAATTAATAATAGCTATTTTTATTATGACATAACGTCGTTTTCTATATTAAATATCACAATCCACACAACTGCAGTTATATTAAAGTTAACATACATTATTATACTTGTAATGATTCAATTATTCTTTAATTGTCAAAATAGGATAAAAATTGTTTGTCAATTAACAAAGTGATGCGGGGATTTTCTCAACAAGTTCGTATATAAAATGGAATGTTACATTGATTTAAAAGTACCTTACACAGCCATTCGGTCGTATAAAAAATATTTTTAGTTATGTAATACTAGGCAGGTATTGTACTAACTCCATCTAAGCCATATTTAAGCTATAGCCTAAACGTTGAGTCCAATTCATGCAAACTATAATATAAATCTAAAATAAGCATTTTGTACTTGTCAAATAATCTATAGCGTCGCCATCTATACTATAAAACTACAAATATGTTATAACTATTTTGCGAACTAGCTCATGTAACATATAAGCAAAAGTATTATTTTACATAAAAAAACTTTATGAAAATGTAATTATAACCATATAAAAATAGAAAAGGATTTTCAAATTTTTTTCTATTCGTGTAATTAAAATCACCATCCCACCATCAAAAGCTTTGACTAAGAGGCCTAACATATTTCGCCTCGAAATATACACTTTTAACCGTCGAAAACGCGAAATATATTAGTTAAATTGTTTACAGTTTAACTAATATATTTCGGTCTTTAATTACGGTCCAACGTTTCGAGTGCTCCTATCTACTTTGACGTTAGGTACACGGACGCTACAAAGCAATCGAAATGGCGGGCCGTAGTTAAAATAAATGGTAAATAAGTTAAAGATGTATTTCAAATTTTAAAACGTTAAAAATGTTTTTATTAACAGTGTACTACTTGCGTCTGGAATTGAAAATAATACCTAATAAAAAAGCAAAATACAATAGGGTTGGTGGTCATTCAGAAATTTCTTAAAGTAAAATTTATCACAATGTCGTTCCCCTAAAGGCCTATTACATCTGTCACAAAGTTAACGTAGCATTGATAGTAGTAGTTGCATTCGCGATTTCCACCGGTTCACTGAATTTGACCACCATGGCGTGTATGGAAGTATATGATCCCGTAGATAAAGCAACGAGCGACAAAAGCGCGATGCCACAATTTTTAATAAGGATCCAGTTGAACTGCCCAAGTCCTCTCTCCCATTTGTGGACACTGTCGACAATCGCTGGTATCAAGAGGCCGAGGGTTGAAAGGAAGATGGCACCGCAAAGGTTGATAAAGAGTTCCAAATCTGGGAACGCAGCGGCAAGAGCAACTGTAAAGGTTCGATACTGTTAATTAATATTGTGGTGTTAAATCAAATAAATAAGAGTTTAAAATAATAAGTAAGAAACAAATTCCAGAAATTTTAGACATTAAAATATTGTATAGATAAAAATCTAAAAATAAAATTTTGCAATAAAAGTTAAGATAAAAACGGCATCTATCAAATCATAGACACTGTCGATATACGAATTATAAGACAAGTAACACTGAGATGAATATAGAATATTAATTCAAAAGTTCAATTTTAATAAATTGGTGGACTGACCTGAACCTATCACAACCGCTGTTCTTAGACTGATCTGTGTGATATTATGGTATCTAACTGCTATCTTCTGATGTAGTTGCCTCCAGATCATCTCCATGGGAACATAGAACTGGAGACTATACGTGAACAGGATAGCTAGAGCCATTAGAATCTTTGCGCTTTGTGCGAGCCTGGAAAAATAAAGACGTGTAAATATTTAAGATATTTCTTAGCACTTTGACCGTTTCCTGGTACATACTTCTACAAACAAAGGTTTTATCTTACTGTGCGGAAATATTTTTTTCTTGAGTGAGGTCTTAATCAACATCACCTACAGGCATCTAAAGCGTTCCGTGTTGTATTTTTTTTTCAATCTAAACCGATTTTTTATTTATCTAGTGACATCATGTGCATCATGTGAAAATATAAACGTTTTCCAAGGAATGAGGTGTTCTTTAAACCATCTACTGTTAAATAATGTATCTAGATAAATTTACTTGAGTTAAAACGTTTTGATGAAGTTTCAAAGTGCCTTAATATCATTTCCTTATAGATATCCACCGTAGAAACAATTTAATAAAAACGTTTTACAGCAAGTTAAAAATTGTGTATTCAATGACTTCATAATCGTAAATCATTCGTCAATTTATAACAAGAATCGGGAAAATTCGCAAAGTTATCTGAAGGAAAATGACGGTCGAGTGAAATTCTTCTCTTAAAATGTTTAGTAAGACGCACCGATATGGAAGGGTAGTCGACAGGTTTACGATATTACCCACTTTTATATGGAGTCTCGCTTTTGTCAGATTTCAGGCGTAAAAACGAGAATATCATATTTTCCAAAGCAGATATGAAGTGGTACTTTATATTCCCACGTCATACATTTCATAGTACGCAAACAGTCTGAAACTAGCATACATTGAACATATGAGAAATATTAAAGTGCGTTGATTTTTTCGCCGTGATGAAACAGGGTAATTAAAGACAGCGATAGCCTGCGGCAACCCTTATCGAAATGTTTTCATTATTTAAATAAAACACTTTAACGGTTTAAAACGCGATATATTAGTTAAACTTGTTTGAAAATGATTTATTTCATTATTTATTTATTTATTTCATTATAAAAACATTCTAACATTACAGAACAATGTCCATTGCGATAGAATTATTAATTACATATTTCATGGAGTGATGTTTTTGTCAATTCACCCAAGCTACACGTAAAAATGTCGATCCCCTCCTGCAGCTTGTTGATAACACGCATAGCACGAACAAGAGGGGATTTCATCAGTAAGTTAGTGCGTGAGTACGGTAGCGCAAGTAACGGTGGCAGTAAATGATGAAACGTCGGGCCGAAGTTAAAAATAATTTTCAAATAAATTTAACTAATATATCGCGTTTTAAACCGTTAAAGTGTTTTATTTAAATGTGTAAACTATAGACAGTGTTTTCATTATTTTATAAATCAATTAGTCAATAATTATTATACAAAACTTCCGAAACACGCCTGATAATTTAATGTATTTTAAACATACAAAGATGTAGATATCCATTTAATCATATAGCAACCATTAAAGTATCATTTTTTATACTGTCATCCTTATTTTAGTTAGAATTTGAAAAAAATCTGTACTTTTCTATGTTTGTGAACTCTTAGTGTCTTAGGTTTTGATGTGAAAAGGCTACGTATTTGAAAATACAAAAACCTATAAACTTAATTTATCTTATTTACTGTGGCAATAATTTATAATATAACTTTTTCTCAATAATTTATTGCCAAATTTAAATTAATTTAATTGCCATCCGTTTGAACTAAATTACTATGATTTTTAGTTAACATTTTTTCTACATTGCGCGAGAGGTGATTGTATCAATAGATTTAAAAAAAAATGACGATGGCGTATAGGACTCGGTAGCTCAATTGGTTAGAACAACAGCACGAAACGCTGGAGATGCCGGATCAAGTCCTGCCTGAGTCGTAAATTTTTTCAATTTATGGTCGATTTTTAATATACATTTTTACTTACATTTCGTCCTGCGGTAAGTTTAACGTAACACTGCCACGAACTTCATCCCCGAATTTAATGTAGCCAAAGAACCCAACGATTCCGTACAAAGCGATGACCACCGTCATCGCCACGTTGAGGACTCCTGGACAACCCAGGAACTGCTCTGGTTTCGCCATCTCATTCTCTACTGGCATCACCACACCTATTCCTTCCATAGCGAATATTACTGTACTGAAAGAGAATATATTGTTAGAAATAGGTTAAAACCGAATTAATCCTTCATTTGTTTTACTTATCTAGTACACTAGTGTATTAAAATTAACTTAGTAGATTCACTTCTTTAGTTAAATTACATCTTAATTGTATTACAGTTCTTTATATTTCTAGGAGTTGTATAGACGCAAACTCACCAATAGTTTCAATTTATTTGAGTATTTCGTGAATGGTATTTTGAACACGGTACTGAGTAACATAGATAGAGGGGCATTTCCTTAAAATTGACTCGTGTTAGCAAAAAACGTTGCTTTTAAATAAGATATCGGATACTACATAAGCGTTAGAACATGTAATTATATATCTTACTTGTTTCTAGGTATTTATGAATATGATAATATTTTTTTAAACATATTATATAGGTCAACGTTGGCCCGCTTTTGTTATAAATTATTCTCTTCGAACGGTTTAAACCGCGAGATATATTAGTTAACTTATTTTTAATTTATTTATTTACTGTAGGGGCTTCGTCGTGATCGCGTTTGAAACCCCTATTAGTGTCTGTGTCTGTTTCTGTTATTCTAAATTGTACAACTCGCGTAAAAAATAAAATTAAAACGTTTTAATTTCCAGTTAATTGTTGACATAAAGTTTATTAATACTATTCGAATTTGAATATTTATGGAGTTAATAATAGTATACCCTAAATTATAGTTATTAATTTACTTATTCAATTTATTTCAAGAAATAACAAACGTCTTTTAATTTAAACATTTCATTACTCTATATGATTAAGGTAATGGGTCCCGGTGCGATACCCTGCAGTATCCGCGTAATTGCCTTTGTGATAAACCCTCGAAAACGCAAATAAAAAGTCTCTTAATGATACATACAATAGAGAAAACCTTTTTCTTCAGTAACGTTAAATTACACACCGTTTTTCTTTCTAATCCCATTTGACAAGTCCGAAAACATTGACTCAAAAACTCGTCGCAAGAATTTTACAACAAAAAAATGGTTTTGAAGTATTACGACTAAGATAAAAGATTTAAGTAATATCATTAGGCTTATAGGCTGAGGGATATTTAATGGATCAACTAACAGGCTTGATTGCCTTTTGAGAGGACTATGTAAATTTCAATATCGTGACTTGCTAATTGAATTGAATAACGTTCTAAACGTTTAATAATATGTTGATTGGTAGTAAATATATATACATATAATTAAATAAAAATCATAAAAAATAAGGTTCAATAATTTTAATTAACCTACGGTTACATTTTAGCAGGTTGTGTTACTAGTTAAATATCTTAAACTATAAATTCAATTGGTTTAAAATTAATTAATTTAAATTAACTCAATCTACTATGTCGTAGACGTGAAATTTATGAAAATGCAACGTTTAATGTTATTTAAGTTATATCGCTATAAAGCAGGGTATATTAAATAATATTTTGGTATTTATCAAATTAAAAAAGCGCGTTATTATTGTGTAATATATTTTATTATGATATGTGGTAATAACACAAATGATATGAAAAGTAAGGAGTATTACCTTATAAACAGGGGCCATTGCGTGACACTGGCGATCATTTCTCTGTCTTTAGGGTTAGGTAGGTCCGTGAATATATAGTACATAGTGATCGCAAAGCAGGCAACCAGGAACACATTTGCAACAACCGTGAAGGGCACCAGCCATTTTAAGTTTCGTATCTGACAGATTAGGACTAAAGGAACCAGAGTTAGGGCGCAGTAAGTCTCCACGGATAGCTTGTAGTCCGGTACATATTCATCTAGAACCTGAAATGGTTACAATTAATAAATATAAAAAAGCTAAAATGCCTTGTTATGATAAGAAAGGGCATTAATAAAATGTGGACAGTATATAGTAGGTAACTAGCTGTCTCGACTTCATCCGCGTAGAGTAGTTCTTTTGGATGCCCAATTTTGTTTTGGAAAACGTTTTCTTTATCATCTTCGTTTCCTAACTTGCAGGTTAATTATAAAAGATAGGCAATTAATGTAGTTGACACTTTTAAAATCATTTTAAAGATGTCAAAGAATCATCTTAATCTGATTTTTTTGGATATATTGAATCGTTTTTGTAGCGTACGAAACTCACAAGATGAATAAATTCCTTAGTTTTTTTCCTCATTTTTCGCTGTTTCTTCGCTCTTATTATTTACAGCGGGATGTTTTATAGGCCTCCTCAATAAATAGTCTATAAATTGATTAGAAAAATGTTTTGCCCAGTGGGAGTCAAAGATTAACAGACATGTACAAGTTTCGTGTCTATGATTTATTATGGATGTTTCTTTACAAACCTCGATGGCACCCTAGCATATTTAGTGCATAATGAGATTCGATTTCGCTTCAATATACTTTAAGGCTAATTTACGTATATCAAAACTATTCAATTTAACTTTTTTCGAATAAATTCAATCATGTGTAAATTGATATTCCTATAAGAGGCGTACACTTTGACTAAAAAAATTATTGTCAAAATCATTCGACAAAACATTTATTTCAAATATTTTATAACGGAAATTTTCCTTTTTATAACTCTTTGTTTAATGGACAAGCGGACGATTCAATTTTAATAGAGCAGATTGAAGCTGAAAATTCAATAAAAATTACAGTTTTTAGTACTAGTTATATATATTCATTTGAATATATCATAGACTAGCCTGTATAAGTATAATATTTGAGACGATTCAAACTCATTTACTAAGCTACTTAGGTTTTCGAGCAATGTTCAGAAATGTTTCTCAAAGTTTTGCAATCATGAGACGAGGTCGTCAGCAAGAGATGGTGAACCTCAACTAAGTATCTTCGCTTAGCAAGTACTTTTGCAGATTAGCAAATACTTTTGCAGAGAGCCGCAATAGCCTTATAAATTTATATTACCTCTTTAAAATTTTCTGCGATAAATACAATGTAGACGCTCAGAGCCGCTAAATAAGTACAGGTCAGTGCCCAATCCACGAAGATTCTGTAAATAGCATGGAAAAGCTTTAAGAAAAAATAACAATAAAATATTTTGATGACTTGACATTGTGTTAATGTTACGTATATATTCTGCTTGTATGCTCATTTTTAGAATTTCAATTCAAAAAACAACTAAAATAAATAACTTTTAACGTTTTAAAACCTGAAATACATTTGAAAACAATAATATTTTTCACATGTAATTCGCACTATATAATTTAAAAATCGAAAATAAATTGAAAAAATTTTCGACTCGGGCAGGACTTGAACCGGCGCGAGAGGTGCATGTATCAATAAGTTGAAAAAATTCGACGATGAGATGTAGGACTCGGTAGCTCAATTCGTAGAGCAACAGCACGGAAAGCTGATGATGCCGGTTCAAGTCCTGCCCGAGTCGAAAAATTTTTCAATTTATTTTCGATTTTTAAACCTGAAATACATGACAAATTTATAATTTATTTTAACTATAGCATGACGTCTGACATGACATGACAATAAATTGTAAATATGTTAACTAATGCTACAGATTATAAATTATAGACAATACTGAACAGATAATTTCAAAAACAAACCTAACTGTCTTGGCCCAAGGTCTCAATCTCCTTGGCCCATACTCAAAGGCTGCACCGCACGTTTCGGCAAATCCCATAGATGGTTTTTTCGCCTCCACGCATACTTCTTGTGACGTTTTTACCTTTATGTGAAAAAATATGATGGTGAAACATGATGCCACGAGAACATAGCAGGGACGAAAATTATATTAACAGTTCAAGTATAGAAAGTCGGAAATGATTATATTTTATTAACAAAAAGTTGCCACCATTTTATGTTAATATGAGGAATAATGTCAATCAAATTTATTATTATGAGGCACTATCGACAAATATTGTTTTTAAATCTATATAAACTATTTGCTCTTAATTTTCATTGACGAAAACATAAATATATAAATCATGAAATAAAAGTCATAGTCGATGTAAAAGGCATAGATATTTTTCTATGTTATACTCGATCGATGACAATATTAAACGCCTTTAATATATAACTTAGCAATGAAGAATATTCATACAATTATTTCTACATATTCAAAGGCGAAATAGGTAGCGGTACTTATCGTACCATAAATGCTTGTCTGTCCTCTGTCACAATAAGAACATATTTAAACAATTTTTATAGGCGTAGCAAATTTCGTGGCCTGCTGAATGATAAAAATCCATGAATTTATAAAACAAAAAAGAGCATGTACCTATTTATAATTTAATTATTTTCGAATAACCAAAGCTAAAATATTTCGTTGGCACATCGAGTTAAGATGTTATATGGGTCCATCAAGGGAACCCTGAATCATACATATGTAAAAATGTTAAAAATAAATAAGTTGAACCTACATTAAAAATACATGTTAAACACGCGCTCATATAAATACTTTTAAATGTATACATTTTCATTTCACGAACGAGACCACTTGCAAAAAGCTGCTATAATAATTCATAAAATTTTATGCATATTCTTGGAATAGCTTGGAATAATAAATTGCTTGGAAACTGCAAAATATTGAATAAGTTTACAGCTAAGTAAAATTCCATAATATAACCAACAGCGAATATATGAGACAAGTAGCAATGAATATAGCCTCTCAAGACATTAAAACAGTGTAATAAAAATGAAAGTCAAGAATTTCGGATAAAGTTTTCTTTCGATTACAAAAGAACAGGTGAAGTGTTAGCAAATGTAATTACTTAAACTAAGAATAGAACATAAACATAATTAGGTTTTAGTCTCTTATTCACATCTTGCGTGTAAGAACCGAATGAAAAAATTGAAAATGAGAAAATTACATGTAATACTGTCTATAGTTTACGCGAGTAGTACACATTTAAATAAAACACTTTAACGGTTTAAAACGCGATATATTAGTTATTATTATAACAAACTCTGGATCCCAATAAACAGCATACCAGCAAACGCGAAGACACCGTTAGTCAATTCTGTAAGGACCCGGCCAGTTTCGCCAAATACCAACTTCGACGGAACAGATGGCGCTAGCGTAGCAATTCTTTACTTTGACGTCTGAGAGATCCTCCATCTTTAGTCTCCCCGTGACCACGGCTGCTGCAAAGCATCCGAAACGTCGGGCCGAAGTTAAAAATCATTTTCAAATAAGTTTAACTAATATATCGCGTTTTAAACCGTTAAAGTGTTTTATTTAAATTACATGTACTAATAGAGTAGCACCTGAGTTATTATAGTTTTGCTAATAATCAACTGGTCGTGGATTCGATCCCTATCAGATCCAACATGATTGTTTCAAAAATCAAAATTCCGACTGGGTTACGAACCACCGTCCACACATAAAAGAGCCGCGAGGAAACTGTGGTTTCCGTGTGGAATTTCGAAGATCTGAAGTAGGTCGTCAGCATATTTTTTTTAGATGTCATAAGACTTGGGTATTTTACTTATCATCAAGTGAACTCAGGCTTGTCTGTCCTTCTCTAACAAAAAAACTGATGATCAGACTTTGGTCTGCCCAACTGAAACTATTTACTGTCTTCTCATCATTCATGCCGGGAGCTTTTGCGTTTTACTCAATGCAATGAAGCGGAGGAAGGATCTCGAGGCGGATTTAATATAGGAATTAATTTCACGTTAATAAGATACTTGCTGTACAGCTTAAATCGGCTGTAATCAACCACAACTTTTCCTAAAACGTTAAATACCAGTCTCAAAGGAATAACCAGCGTTAACAAGTTAGTACTGAATATTTTATTACTTAACTTTTAGCGGCCTTACGATTTCTTAATTTCTTATTTCGTTGACTTACAATTTTACAGCTCAAGAAAAAGTACTGCGTTGCGCAATAATATAATACTCTGTACATATCTGTCTATAATATTTGATGAAATATATTCATATATTAGTAAATGAGTTATATTATGCTTTTATATATTTGTAGAGTTATTCATCAGATCTTTAACAGCGTTATGGCCTTTTTCGTGATGGGTGAAAATGTATAAATACAATAAGTAATAGAAAGGTCGAAAAAGAGAAAGAGAGTAGACAGTTTAAACTGTCGTGTTTGTGTATGATAAGACGATAAATGTATATACAGTATACATTTATCGTCTTATCATACACCACCTTTACCACCTAAATAACAAAGTAATTTCCAATTATACGATTAAAGCAATTAGTCATATTATAATCAAGTTTTAAGCAGGTTATGCAATTAAGTATGGACCCGAAATAGGCCTATGCTATATGTAACGTTGTGATTAAAATTAGAATACCAAAACATAGACGCAGTGTGTACAGATGAAGCCAACAACGATGGTGCCAATCGCTCCGCCAGCTAATCCAGCGTTCCTGAAAGCTGCAGGCATAGCCAGGATACCGGAACCGAGCGAGGATTTTAGAAGATGAGCCAAGGAGCCGATTGTTCTGGAATGTACAATAGTAACTTTAGCATGAACCTGGTATTGAGGGTTGCAGGCTCTTAGAAAAAACTATAAACATAATTTCGTTCGAGTCCTCTCTAAATATAAGGATGGTAGGTATAGAAAGGTTTGAGACTACAGCCGAAACGCGCTGGGTGCACGGAAACTACATACATTAATGTTCCTAGGAAAAATGTTATTAAAATATCGTAAAAACGACCAATTAAAAACTACTTACGTTTATCTTAGACTTTTAAATTATTCTAGTAAGTTTGTTGTTGTATTGACACCATCCGTATCTGAATAGTAATGACTCTTGATTCAAACCCCGGGGTAATAATAAATTAGTCTGATCATGAGAATTTAGTCTGATAAACTTCTTCTCTGTACAAACAATCAAATATTCACACACAGCAATCACTGGGGAAAACGAGATATCTTATTTCTATTATAATTATTTTTATATTCCTAGTCTGTTGACTAAATAAAACAAAATAATATCATTGGTTACAAATGTTATGCATTTAAATAACCACTTTTAAAGGTTTAAACGCTAAATAAATAAATTATGTAATTTTTTTTAAACGTTCGAATGCTTTGCAGCAGCCGTAGTCGCTTTTAAAGATGGAGGGTGTCGCTAATTTCTAAGTCAAATCTGTGTGCATGGAAAAGTATTTTATTTAAATGAGTACTACTCGCGTAAACTACGGACAGAAGTATGCGTACGGTTTGTGTACCTTTCTCGTATAAAACACTTATATTATTTCACACTTAGGTTAACAGATAAACAAAACATACAGACACACACTATGCAATTACACTACACTAGGCTTACTCTATTACTTAGGCATACACTATGCAATTTTAAAAGTATAAAGTGTACCGGGCCGGCGGTCGCCCATATAAGTGATCCCTTCCAGGCAACCCGAGTAGAAAGAAACTTAATAGTAACTAGTCGTGGCGTGATATTTTATAGCCTTCCTCGATGAATGTTCTAACCAACACAAAAATAATTTTCATTTCGAACCCGTACTTCAGAGATTAGCGCGTTCAAACAAACAAATTCTTCAGCTGTATATTTTAGTATAGATACAAGATGCGATATATAAATGACATGAAGATAGAACAATGCGTTAAGTTGAACAAATACTCACGAATTGGGGTGTTCCACTCTTCTGTGCTCAAAGGGATTATATGCCTTCTCAGTAATGGCCTCCTTTGATCCTAGCGTTAGAGTTGACTGGAATCCTGGGTTCGCCGTAAGATTCGCCCTGAAAAACGATCATTCAGTATTAATTTGCACGAACGATTGTTTCGTCCCCTTATTTACTCCGAAGCTCATCAAAATCAAACAATGAAAGATGTAACATGTGAATACGATTTGTATGACACGCTCGAGTAAAGTTTTATAATAAAGGAATGTTGCTACAATGTACATTCAATGAATTGTATGTATTATCAGATTTGAAAAACGTACACTTATCCTCTCTCTTTGACTTTGAAAACTGTAAAGACTTATAACTACCTAGGAAATATTCTTCAGCTTGATTTATTATGTGGCATCAAAGCTCCTAAACGGATGAACAATTTACGATTGATTTTGAAATTTTATCAGTAGGAGTTTTTATATGAGCTTTAATATTTTTTTTACATATCCCGCAGTAGAAAATGGTCATGAGGCAGCAAGCTCGCAATTAAGCTGTAAGAAACCCAAATAAAGAAAAGAAGAAGGATTCAAAGATACATAAGTTCCTTATTTTTATTTATATAAGTAAGTATATTCACCAAAGCGGGTTAATAGAGCGTTGTCTCTTTCCTACAGGCCTCTACAAAGAAAAGGGACAGAAAACAAAGAGTGGGCGTCACACTTTCATTCCCTAATAACTCGTTTCGGTGAACGTTCGGAAAAGCTTTTTCATTAATTATTGTATATAGGTATCTCAAACCGTCCTCCTTTGAAAGGATTGTGCGAAAAATCACTGTGCAAAACCCATATGATATGTATCGAGCATTCACTATCGACATATCATTGTATAACCCGACTACATCACTGACGAACCGATTGTCTAAATTATGCAAGAACGTCTCCAGATTTATATAGTTCTGTCTTATCATGTATTTCTTTGAAAAGAAACAGCACGATATATTCGTTTGCTGATTGTGATAGGCTTGCAGCAAGACCTGGTACTCGTCGCGCTGACTGTAACAATTTTATGACTAGAGATTAGTAAAAAATCCATGTGATCCTAGTGTTTTTATTTCGCCAGTTTCAGGCTTCGATTCTTAACACTGATTCTTATCTTGCGAAAGGCATGCAATTATGCCATCGAAATATTTTAGCCCAACAGTAGCAAAAAGTGTTCTAGCTCTAGTTTCGAGGTTATAATATGACCTCTAATAAATGTTGTTAAGCAAAATGTCAACTAAAAATAAAGTATGTAAAAGGTGTTTGAAACTATAAAAAAATGCGTCGACTTTTGATTAGCAAAACATTTTGAAATTTATTTAAATGTTTATCCTTGTTGATACCATTTAAAACAACTGCTGAAGATTTAAATTATTGCTTTTCCCAAATAAGTATAAAGAGGCGAACAAAGTAATGTTTGCACTCGTTCCCCGCGTAATCAGATATAAAAAACAAAACGGAAATGTCTTTGATCCGCGTAATTACAGAACCTTCGTTAATACGTTGAAAATATTAGATTAAACTGATCAAAGCCACTCACGTTGAGTTAAAATTGTCCAGAATGATCGTGCCCTTTTTCTCGCCTGGTGCCATTTTGAAGCTTTTTCCTGAAATAACACAATTAGATAATTAGTAATTGGCTTCCGAGAAAAATTTAATTAATTAATTATACTTAGGGAAAGGAGATCTTTGTTGAAAGTTATAAGGATACAAAAATGATTTCTTGAAGGTTGTACTGTCACGACGTTTTAACACTACGTGTTGTAGAGCCTTAAATACTTAACGAGAACATAAGATAGAGAAAAATTTCGATGCGCTATCAGCCTTAGTTTTCCTACTTTGTATATTGTTTAAATAATCACTTTAAACGGTTTAAAACGTGAAATATATTAGTTAACGTAGTTATAGTTTATTTTAACTACGGCCCGACATTTGGTTTCGTTAAGTGTGTTAATTAAATGTATACTACTCATGTAAACTACAGACAGTACAATGTATATATTTTCACTTTTATAATGTGCTTATCTATTATATTAGTTTTCTGTATCATAAGTATGCGCATATTCTCCTTTGCAGTAGAATTTTAATCAGAACAAATTTTACTCTCTTTGTCGAAATAAACGCGCGTTATACAACTTCGTATGTATACACCCTTAAGTATGTAATAGGCTATAACTAAGACAAATTTTAATAAGCGATAATTCGAATTTGTTGAGCATTGACAAAAAGTGACAAGCCCACGATTTCGAGTTTCATTAATATCAATTAAAGCTTAAAGGCTAAAATGTAGCCTTTAAGGGAATCTAGAAAGTTTATTGTGACTTCGATGATGGATTTTCCCTTTTTTGTCTGGAAAACTAGTTTGTAAAGATGATCGTTTTGCGGCCATAATTGCGAGTTCATGGAAAGACTGCATTTTTAAAACACGTTCATTTACAAGAGGCGAGTAATTTAGCCGATGGGTGGGCGCGAAATGTAATTTCAATGAAAACGGTCTAGATTATGCTGTACCTTATAAAGTAGGCGTACTTAATTTAAAGCAATAAAAAATATTATTTTAAAAATCGAAAATAAATAGAAAAAATGTTCGACTCGGGCAGGCCTTGAACCGGCATCGTCAGCGTTCCGTGCTGTTGCGCTAAATAAACAATTATTTTTTTCAATTTATTTTAGATTTTTAAATTATATAGTGCCTTCATAGGCAATAACATGTAAAAAATATTAATGGTTTCAAATAAAAAATATTTCTTAAAAACTGAATACTATACAAATTTGTGTATAATTAGTTTGTATTATAATCTAGCTGTTTCAGCGACTACGTAGTACTTTTACGTTACTACAGCGTAGAAAGGTTATTTGGGTATCAAAATTTGTTTTCGCAAACCTCCTCTTTTTAGGTTCAAGCTGTTGCCCATGACGTCGGTTGTGTCTCGTCGTTCTTGCAAGTTATTCTTAGAAGACAAACATTAAAAAAAAAAAAAAAAAAATTTTAGATCAGATCAGTCTTAAAAAGTTTTCAAAACGAACGCATCGGAAACCCACGAAGATGAATAATTTTCTCACTTTTTTCCACATTTCCCGCTGTATCTTCGCTCCTATTTGTAACAGCGCGATTTTTCATAGTCATAGACATATTTGTTTATAATTTCATAACCTTTCTCGATAAATATTCAAAGCAACAAGCGAAATATTTTTTTTAATTCGAACCAGGAGCTCCTGATAAACAAACTTCAGCTTTATATTAGTATAGATAACAAAAACACGGTTGCTTTGAAAACGTATTCATTGAATCGAAATATGAGTTTAATTAGTTTCCGGTCAAACTATTCAAATATAACAGGATCACAAGGAAAATATAGTCCTTTGCGTCGTGTTTTGTTTTGCTTAAAATATTATGAAATACTATAGTTCCTTGACTAGTAATTCTTTGTGTAAATAGCAATAATGATTCACTCGACTCTAAACATTCTTTAACGGCTTCCTAGGTTTTTTATTTATTTTTTACTTGACATACTTGTTGAGTATAGACACATAATGATTATCATGTAACTCGGTTAGACACTCCCCTTAGTAGGCATTTTGTACCTGCAATTAATAAGGTATAAAGATATTTTATTCCTCATACAGAATTCGATATAGTGGATTGTTGTTACTAAGATTATTTTTATTTATTCTGGGAAGTCGCGTGACGCACGAAAACAAAATCAAATTAAACTAATTTAAAACACTCCTCATTTACATCAAGTTCCTACTATATAAAATTATATTTCAAAAATATATATTTACTACTTACGCTTACGTTGTAATTTCTCAGTATTGTTTGAAATAAATGATTAATTTTAAAATTATTTTTTGGAAAAGTTATTCAAATAGTCTCTGACGCAAATAAATATCGAAAACAAAAGGAGTTTTTTTTTTACTGTCACGGGTTGTTCTTTCAATGTAAGGAAAATCTATTTGTCTTGTGAACTTTTGTTCCTCTAAGAAAGTAGGCATTTCAGCGCCAAAATAACTTTTTACAATAAATACTCTCTGTTTTGTTGTTGCAACAGTCTTTAAAATAATGTATGTTCTATATTTACAGATGTTTGTAAAAAACGATTTGTTTATTGTTTAAAAATCGAAAATAGTGAAAAAATGTTCGACTCGGGCAGGACTTGAACCGACATCGTCAGCTGTTGCTCTGCCCTCGGAACGCTGACGATGCCGAATTATATAGTGCCTTCGTGTGCAATAATATGTAAAAAATAGTCAAGTTTTTGTTTATTGTTTTCTGTTATGTATATTTATTTTAATGCCCGTACATAAGTGCTTTGTGCTTATCTCTTTGTCCTTTAAGTTATCAGTGAATTAAAGGTTACAAAATGGAGTGACTAATTTTGATTTTTTGTTTCTTTAAAGTTTATATAGGTTTCGTGACAAATATTTTTGCTAAAGTAAGTTTGATAAAGTTTACCACATTTTATCTTCCATCTTATTCTAAGTATGCATCAATGGAAAACAAAGTAGGAAACTGGAAAAGTTGCCCCGTAAGGAGCTGTAGAAAGTTGATCTATGAATCTGCACAAAGTCACAATATATTATATCAGGAACTCGGTTTTCTTGAGCGGTCTCGTTCTGGCTAACTTATAAGCATATCGCATATCACAATATCGGTTTAACACCGATTTCACCAACAATATGAAACCTAATTTAATAATTCTCAGCAGCGCATTGGTTTACTACGTTGACTATTGTTCCCAGTTTGAATACCGGAAAAACATTTAACTAATATATTTGAAACCGTTTGAAACCGTTAAAGTGTTTTATTTAAATAAAATTAACTGCCCATTAGTGACAATATGGATTTTTAAGTACCTGTAAAGTCTATAAAGTTCAAGGACCAGTTTGTTTGTTTTCGTGTAATTGCATAATTCATAAAGGTTATTATAAAATGACTACTAAATTAGCCTATTCATTTAAATTCTCGTTTTTATGTACTTCAGTTAAAAATACATTTATTTTTTACCCCGTAAATACTGTCTGTAGATTACACGAGTAGTACACATTTTAACAAAACACTATAACGGCTTAAAATTCGATACATATTATTTAAACAAGAAAATATATTTTAACTACGGCCTGACGTTTCGGATGTATGCCATGTACCAATGATGCCCAATACCACCTATGACAGAACAGATGGCGCTAGCGTAGCAGTTTTTATTTTGACATCAGAGACACCCATCCTCATTTATCACCGGGACCACGGCTTCTGCAATGCATCCAACGGGGGGCCATAGTTGAAATAATTTCCTAATATCTTCAAGTGATACCGTTTAAATCGCGTTTTAAACGGTTAAAGTGTTGTATTTAAATGTTTTGTCGGTATTCAAACTGGGAACAATAGTCAACGTAGTGAACCAATGCGCTACGGAGAATTATTAAATTAAGTTTCATATTGTTGGTGAAATCGGTGTTAAATATTGTGATATGTGATATGCTTATAAGTTAGCGTTTTATATAATGGTGAACTACAGACACTATTTAATGTTTCCAATAAACTTTTGTTGTGTCTGAAACGTTGTTGGGCTTTGTTTAGAAAAATAGATCGACTGCGCTGTGATTTTCATCTTTCAATAAGTAAATCCGGTGTTTGTTTGTCCTTCTCTGTCAAAATAAAAACACCAATCGATTTTAAAAGATAGGTATGTTTTGTCTGCCTTCAGAATCTGACTACCCACTCTGTTTTATTGACATTAAATCCTACTACTGTATACAATGAGTTTAAGTAGATGTCTGATTTATTTCTTGTTTAACGCGGATGTTGTATTGCGGTATGTAATGTCTGTCATTAAGTCCATAGGTTTAAAATACTTATTAGGTTTAAATATAAGGTGATTTACACATAAATGTTTTGAATTGTGAAACAGAAGGCGCTTCACGACTACTGTGAAGTATGCGAAACGTCGTTTAGATAAATTTAATTATAAACAAGTTATAATATATTTCGCGTTAAAAAGTGTACTTTTTAGAATAACTTGTCAGATAAAGTGCCAAATGGCATATCATGTTTATAAGGTGGGACAAACGGGTTCAACTCATTTTTAAAATATCCGTGTATGAGGCCCTAAGTCTTGTAGGCCACTTGCACAGTGGCCACCTGCTGTGGCCATCCTTGACTTTTTAAGAACACCTCGGAATCTAATTGCTCTTGCTTAGATTCAGTTCCGTATGTCATTTGTATTGGAGAATCGTGACTGCGCATTTAATATTTATAAATACGGTTTTATAATTCTAGCTAGCATCCAACTATTTATTTAAGCTATAAAATAATCATTTGCATATACTTAAACAAAAAATAGCCTCTTTATAACCATCATAATATTTTATTGATTTTCGTTTTGTTCATTGTCTGTCCATTTCAAGATATATATTTCCCGGTACTCGAATCTCAGATGTCATAACGGCATTTAGAATTGCGGCACGGAATTAGTTAGTAAGTATTCTATGTAGTGTACGTGTACTTTTAAATAAAACAGTTTTAACTATTTAAAACGCAAAATGTATTAGTTAAATTAATTTAAAAATAATCCTTCCCGTCTCCACGGCAG